TCTTGGGGTGGTACTTGTGGGAATGGCTGAACAGAGAGAATTTAGGGGAAAAGAACACCTGAAAATCTCTCTGTGGTTCTCCTTGCCTTCTCAATCACAGCATAGAGCTGGCAAATCTGAAACATTCTGTTCTTATACATGCAGAGTCCATGGTCAATAGGATTTTGTAGAATAGGGCTGTCAGTGATAATGCTGTACCACAGAGGTTCCCAACCTTGGCTTTTCCAGGTGTTCTTGAACTGAAACTCCCAGAAGCCTCCACCACTATCTGTGCTGGCTGAGGTTTCTGGGAGTTGCAGTTGGGCACCAATGCTGTACCAGTTCAGTCTAATTCTGTAGCCACTAGACAGGGGGACAATAATGAAAACCAATTGTGATATTTGTTGATTATTGCTGATTTGTCGGATATTTGTCCCTTCCTATTTGTGAGATCCAGAGAGCCCAACAAGTATAAAGGGATGAATGTACACCTTTTATATTTTTCCGTTCTGTAGCCACAACTAGCTCTGCTCAGCCCAGTTTTCTTTGCTTAGTGGTAGACATCAGTTTTCCCCCCTCTCCCCACTATTCCCTTCTCATGAAGAAAAAAATCTTCTCTGACACTTAAAACATAAGTATGTGTCATCTTAAATAAGGCTACACTTCATTGTTTAGTAGGTTTCAGAGTTTTGCAGTGTATTCTTTCAAGACAGATAAGCTACCTAGCACATCTTGCTGATTTTGGTCCAGTTTGCAGATCACAGTAAGCCAAAGGTCTGAAGAGAGCTGCTTATTGTTGGCAAGCAAATATGCTAGTACATATTGCTCATTCATCTCCACTTACCTCCTCCTGCCAGTGCTAAACAAGCAAAGGGCTCCAGCCTGTGGGAGGTAAACAAACCACAGATCCTCAACCTATTGCTTATTTATTGTGAAATTGAGGCTAAGAATTCTAGCTTGGTGCTCCCTAAGAAAGCTGGAATTGTAAACTGCTGTTACTCTGTCAAATAGTTTCTCACTGAAATAATTTCTTTTAAAAACAACAACACTATGCCAAAATAATTCCTCTTTTCTTCTGATCCCATGTTCAGGTAGGGGTGTTTTCCCATTAATTTCTTTGGGTTTAATCACACTTATTTCTGCATAGACTCAGTTGCAGGTTTTCAGATGGAAAAATAAACAAATCTTTGTTTGAATATAATACTTTGTACTTCTTTTTTCTAGCTTTTTGCCCTGGCTGAAAGTCTGGGAGGATATGAAAGCCTGGCAGAGCATCCGTAAGTGAAACCACTGTTCATGTAGTGTAGGCAAGAAAACATGAAACACAGACATGCATCTCAGTCTTGGCTGTAAGACACTAGTCTGCTGTTTAAACTTTGTACAGATGGGGGCATATTTGGTACAGTCATCTGCACCCAGAATACAGTGAAAAACCTTGATAGTTAATGTATTTTTTAAAAAACCACAGTGAAGATCTATATAAATACTTCGTTAGTTCTAAACTACTCTGATTTGAAGATCCATCCTTTCAAATCAGAAGAGTTTCAAATTATTGTCTGCCTTAGAAAAGAAGTTCCAGCTTTGAAAAATGCCAAGGATAATGAGAATCTTTTTAAAAGATGTGTCTTATAGATTGAGTGTTCTCTTGTTAAAAAGTAAGCACAAATGCATTTTGTTCTGTCCAGACTTTGGAATAATTACTATTTTTTTGGTTTATAGCTTGATCCACAGTCATCATGGCTAGCAGGAGCTACAATCCTAGTTATAATAATAATTATAATCGTAACAAAAGTGCTACTAATGTTTTTCCAAAATAAGGTGAACTCGGCTTTTTAAGAAGTCATTCATATTTTCTTTATTTTAAAAGTAGATTCCCCTTAAAATATCCTTATGCTCTTACAGTGTTAACATTTCTGTAGCAAGAGAAGTTCTCCTTTTTCTGTACTTCTAAAATTTATGCATAATTAGGTGATCAAGCCAAATGGCAGGATACAATTTTTAACAGAAATAAATTGCTTGAAATGAACATCCAAAAATAAAAATAAATGTGCTACAGCACAAGATGTGACTTTGCCTCATTTCTTGCTGTGTTACATCACTAGTACTGGGCTCATCTCATGTTTTCTATTTATGCATCTGAAATCCCACCCTATCTGTTCTTTTTCAGGGCTATCATGACTCATGCCTCAGTTCCCAAGGCAGATAGAGAGGCCCTTGGGATCACTGATACATTTATTCGCATGTCTGTTGGGTTAGAAGACTCTGAAGATTTACTAGAAGATTTGTCCCAAGCTTTGAAGGCAGCGGTAAGTCACTTAGCAGTTCAGTAGTTGCCTGTAGGAGAGGATGTGGAATGCGTGGCTTTTCCCACTTTAATTCCCCTGTTGCTTCAGAAATTAGCTTCTGATGAATGCTAAAGTATTGTAACTGTATGGAACATTTTATCTCCCCCCATATCCATACCTAATAGAGCCTTCACATTTAGCTTCTAGATATGGTTCCCTATGGTGTTTACATATAAAAACAGACAGAAATGCTCAAGAACATCGTGTACACAATACAGGAACCTGTTCCATTTTGAACCCCAGTCAGACTACTTAGCTCAGCATTTTCTCTTCTTACTGGCAGTGGCTCTCCACTGTTTAGGGATTGCACGCCAATTTTTTCCAGCCCTCCTTTGAGATTCAGGTAGGAACGCTGGGACCTTTTGTTCACATAGCACGTTAACCAATAAGCTAAAACCTTTCCTCCTCCTTTCCCACTCTCAACAACCAATAAATTAACCCAAGGTCAGCTTTAAACGGCTGTTGAGTTATTTTGATCTATATGCAAATTCTAACTGCAAAACACAGTTCTGGTAAAGAGAGTAGTAATTTTTGCAATAAGCTTTCACAATTTCTTACTGTATACTTTTATCTCTATGATTATCAGGTAAGCTACTTTTTGGGTTTTGTGAGGTATTAAGCAGTAGCTTTTCAGTGCAGCCTTTAGTGGTCACATCCATGCACACTCATTTGATTCTACACAAATTCCACAGTGTATATTCATGACTAAATAAACAAATGTAATGAGCAAGTTAAATGAAATCCAACAACATACTCATTCAACCAAAATGCCCAAATGCATATATTTGTGAACATACATTCACTTTCTTGCACTGCAGGGAGGGGGGAAAAGCATATTTCCTTGCAAAGCATGCAAAATTGCTTTGAAGCAATTATGCCTTTGTCTCTGCACATCTCTTATTTTCGATAGAATTGCTTCATTATAGGTTTTTTTATGTAGCTGGGGGGGGAAGAGCAGTGGGTCTGAAATCCTGAAAACTTATGTAAACCCATTTTGTGTTGCAGGTGGCTTCACTATGAACATTACAGTAATTCGGAGGAAAATAATGTTACTCTTCCTTTTCTCTTGCTGCAGATCCCCGATTACAAAATCCGTAACTAAGAGACAACCTGCAATTGATTCCTGTGCAACTCTAAACAAACTGGAAGTTCAGCATCTTGTGAATGTTCTTTGGATTTTACTTCTTGAACACAAAAAATTGTTTCAATATTTTGAAAGCAAGCCAAGGGTGCCTGTTATTCTCCATAGACCACTAATTCAACAAGTGCCTTTACATGTGTAACCCCATCATAGTCATGCAGCAGCTAGCTGTGTTAGTCTGTTGTTACAATTAATGCTACAAATAGTCATGTAGCACCTGTAAGACAAACTAGTTTTAATTCTTCCCAAGCTTTTGTGGATCTCAGCACGAAGTGTACTTAGTGTTCAGAGGTGTTCTTAGACACATGAAAACTTATGAAAAATAAAAACTAGTGTTACAAGTGCTATAGGACTAACTCCATCATTGTCAGTACTGCTTATTTTACCTCCCAAGCCCACCTTTCTATCCACCATTAGCTGTTGAATGGCCATAATTCATCCTCAGGAATACTACAACAAGTTGTCTCCCAACAATGTTTAAATGAAGTTAATTGCATGATGGTGTAATATAATATATTATAATATAATATAACGCCAAGGAGCAGGAAATCTCCAGGTCTCAGTTCACAAGGTGGATTTAGGTAAGTTGTTCTCTCAGCCTCAGTCCCACCATCTGCAATGTGGGCAACTGCTGCTATGTAGTGCATGTCAATTACTTTGAAGATGTAAGGTACTAAAAAATGCTAGTTGTGTTTAAAAAAATACTGCTGCCGTACCTCCCCTCTGATTGTTTGTACTTGACTCAGAAAATTACTACTTCCCATGGGGAAAAAGTGTTTTTGAGTTGAATTCCTTAAACAGCTGTTGTTTCTTTCTTCTGTGCAATATTGGGAAATGGAACAAAGTCATTTGCATGGCACTATGTGTATTGCATTTTAAAAAATGGATCTTAAATAATTTGCATTTTTTCTGTTTTGAATTATCAAACAATATAGACTGTATCTTTTTAAAATTCATTACATGTCTACGTAATGGGATTCTAGTTTTGAAGAGAAACTCTCTTGTTAGAGTATCTGATTTTAATATGTGAGCAACATTTCTTTCTGCTAATTTGCATTTCTCATAAATTATATAAATTTGGTTGATTTTAATTTCTCATTTCTATAGTGAGTTATTATGAAACAACAAATAAGCAACACTCAGGTGAAAGCTCAAAATCAAATTGACAGATATGCGGCTATCCTGAATGATTGGTCTTGTCAGATTAGATATACTCTACCATTAGCTTCAGTTTGCTGTGGGGAGAGATTGGCCATGAAGATGGCAGCAAGTAGCATCAGGGGTAAAAATGTGCAATTCTTCAGGTGTTCTGGAATTGCAGCGATCAACCCTAACCAATAATGATGGTGGCAGGAGATGCAATCCAGCTGCATCTGGTGAGCCACACATTCCCCATACCTAGTGTGAAAATATCTAAAACTCTACGGTCTGATTTTTCTTTCTCTTTGTTGAGAGTACATTGTGAACTCAGTGGTGTGGGGCCCATTGTAAAGTTTACTTTGCTGTGTCTTGCCTGATGTTTCGAAATTGTCCCATTGGATTTGTATAGTCTAAGAGAGGACTACATAATCCTTCCTTTTCCTGGGAAAAATTGTGAATGTCCACATTCAGCATGTTTACACAAGATAACTTTAGAGGGTTATTAACAACACCCAGCAATCTCTTAGACATTGGCTTGGATCCAAAAATAAATTATCTTTAGGAAGTTCATGGAAGGACATTGTACAAGACGACACCGTACATTTAATCCCATGTAGCTCAGCTCTGAGTATTCCATTTTTGATACAGTCTTCCTGTTGTTTTGTTCTCTCTGTTCCTACTTTGAATATTCTGACAAGAGTTTATTGACCCTCATTCCAACACTGCCTAACGACCAGCTATTTCCAGTGGGATAATGAATTCTATGAACAGACAGATGGAGTGGCCCCTCAGCCCGGTTATAGCAAACTTCTACATGGAGCATTTCAAAAAACTTGCCCTGGCATTGGCACCCTTCACACCCACAGTCTGGTTCCGAAATGTGGATGACACCTTTGCAATTTGGAGCCACGGTGAAGAAAAATTGGAAGAATTTCTCAACCCTCTCAACAGCATCCACCCAAATATACAATTCACCATGGAAAAAGAAATAGAGGGCCAACCCCCGTTCTTAGATATCATGGTCCTACGCAAAACTGACCTCTGACTGGGACACAAGGTCTACAGAAAACCCACCCACACAGACCGGTATTTACACAAAAACTCCAACCACCACCCACAGCAAAAAAGAGGCATAATCAAAACACTGGTAAACTGTGCAAATCGGAACTGTGAAGCTCAGTTTCTCACCACTGAACTCAACCATCTGAATTGGGCCCTACAGGCAAATGGCTACTCCAAAAAATCGCAAGAGGCATCAAACCAAGAAAACAACACTGAACTGAAGAAGAAAAACAGCCACCCACAAATAAAGTATTTCTGCCATACATTAAAGGGGTCATGGACCGCATGGGGAAACTTTTGAAAAAACACAACCTACAAACGGTATTCAAGCCCACCACAAAAATACAACAAATGTTACGCATCCACACCAGAATCAAAGAATATGAGAGACACTGCAGACTAAAACAACCAGAAAAATCTGCAGTAGCTGAACATGCCCTAAAACAAACTGGACATGAAATTCTATTTCAAAATACTGAAATACTGGACAACACCAGCAATCATTACGTCAGACTGCACAGGGAAGCCATTGAAATCCACAAGCACCAGCAGAACTTCAACAAAAAAGCCAAGTTTGAAACTCAACAAAACTTGGCTCCCAGCTCTCAAAAATACAGAGTGCAAAAGGTCAACGAACTCTACCCAGCCACAAGGACCGGGGATCACTACACACAAAAGACCAGCTAATGATACCCATCAGTCACAGTGACAGATAATCTCCTCATCACAACAATACACCCACAACAGGACACACTAATCACACATTTACAGAAAAAGACAAAAGCCTATCTCACCGCCACGAACAGCCCATATAGCGAGGAATCCGTCCCTAAACACAGCGGGGAGCCATTTTAATCACCCGGTGGCCATTTTGAAACCGCCAATCAGCTGTTCGAAAAACGTCATTTTGCAAAGAATCGGTTCCTGAAGCAGGGAACCGATCATCGCAAAGCGAAATTCCCCCATTCAGACCATTGTTTTGCGATCGCAAAAAGATTGTCATTAAGTAGTTTTGTCGTAATCCGGGGCAATCATAAAGCCACTGTATATTATACTTCTGCAACGTAGCACAACAGTTTCATTTGTTTATTACTGGGGAGATTCCCTACAAATCACTAAGTGCTGACACAGTCACTGGCATGAGCGCAACATTCAGATCCAGATTCAACAAGCTGAAAGTCCAGATACATCAAATTTACATGCTGTACTTCCCACAAGTTAAAATTTGATTGTGTCTGTTATGGAGGACTTGGTAAGCTCAAGGCTGTCATGCTGCTGCATTGTAAACCAAACCGTTAATTTTAGAGTTGCCTACACTGCTAAAGAAGAGAGTGTATACTCTTTCGTAACTCCAAAATGGCACTGACACATACTAAGCTAATATACATCGCCCCTTTAAAAGAATAGCACTGAAAAACAGACAATTCGATTATAAGGAAAAGGAACCTGACTCTGTACTTCAGATGTCTGAAGAATTTACATATCCATTAGAAATCCTTGCCCCAGCTGCCCAGAGCTGAATATTCTGCTTTGGAGAATGGGAATGTGTTTTATAGTTTGGTTGAGGACATGTATTGTTGAGTAATACTGCATCCAGAAAGGGTTATTGCTCCTTTGGAAGAGTTAAGAGTCAGTCAAAGTGCATTAAGCACGTTTCCCACAAAACATTCTACAGTACTTCTAAACACTTTACCCTTCCAGATTAGCTGTGGAGTTGGGTTGTTTTTTTTAAACTAATAATGGTTGAAAATTTCAGATACCCGTGCAACTCAGTTTAATCATAGTAAGCTGTATCCAGAAAAAGGACTAGCTCCAATGGACACTCCCAACCTGAACAGACCCATTGAATCAGTGCAGACCTGATATGACAACACTTATATAAGCTTTATTGTGTCAGGAGTCTGTTCCACACTAGACTAAAACTGGATTTAAGTGTAGAACCTGATTCCAGTAGACTCACTGAAATCAGCTGAACAGTTTACTCAAGGATGGGATTATCAGTGGATGTTAGATATGCACATAAACATATGCACGCATATCTAAATGTATTTCCAATGTCACTGTCAGGTGACTTCTATGTGTTAGTTACAGCAGTGGTCCCCAACCTTCTCCGACCCGTGAACCAGTTGGGGGTACGGAGTCTGTGTGCGGGGGACAGGGCACCCTCCGTGCTCGTGGGGGGGCAGAGTGCACTTGCGCGCATGCGTGGATGGCACAGGGTGCACTTGCAGGGGGGCCGGGGCGCACTCGGAGTGGGACACATGGGTGGGCCATGATTATGTGCATGCATGGGTGTGTGCGTGGGGGTGGAAGATCTATCTCTGCGGCCTGGTCCTGTCCCGGGGGTTGGGGACCCCTGAGTTACAGGACAGCTTGAACAAGAATATCCAGTTGTGTCCTGTCCTGCTTTGTAGGTGTCCTGTATGCAGCTGGTTGGCTGCTATGGGAACAGAATCCTAGACAAGAGAGGACTTTGATCAGGTACATTGCTCTTCTCATGTTCTTAGCAAAATGAAACATTAAATCTGCATCCCATGCACTAACTGGTGTCTACTTATCACAAGAAACTGATTATATATTTTACAGGTGATTAATTTTTGTAGTGAAGTGGAAGCAGAAAACACACTTTTAGTAAAGAGTGATAAAGCCCACATCCAAATAGCACTCATCCAACAGCTGAAAAGAAGAGAGCTAAATCCTTGCCAACTGAAAAGGTTTGCACAGAAATGAGAAGAGGTTTTATCGATCAAACACTCCACTAAATACAATACCAAAGGGAAGACAAGTTGTCATGCCTGCTTTGGCACCAGGATCTCTTATATTCGCTAACAAGACCATGAACAAAATTGGGAATGGAATGACATCAAGATATGTTTATTAAAATAATTATGTCCTACTTTACATACCCAGGATATTTACGTTGGCATTGCAGCACTTTATTGCACTCTTTAAGCATGAAGCCCAGATACACATTCCTAAACTAGGTTTAGGAATTTGCTTTGTCAAACTGGGAGCCTCATGGAGCATGAAGCCCAGATAGACATTCCTAAGTTAGGTTTACTGATAACCATTTGCTTTGTCAAACTGGGAGCCTCATTGCAGTGGATAAAAATTGTGGTACCACAGCCAAAACTCCTCATGATGGGTTCAGTCCCAGGTAGCTGGCTTGAAGTTCACTCAAGCCTTCCATCCGAGGCCAGTAAATTGAGAACCCAGCTTGCTGGGAGGTGTGGAGGGTCAATGTGTAGCCTGCCTAATTAAATTGTAAACCTCCCAGAGTGCTTTAAGCACTATGGGGTGGTATATAGGCAGTATGCTTTGCTTTATAAATGTTGGTTTATTTTGATTTTAATTCTTTTTAGCAGATCAATAAAATACCTTTCAGGAATTCATGCTATCACAGGGCAGTCTAAATAAAATAAATAAATAAATAATGGATACAAGCACAATAATATCAATGCAAAATTATCATCCTTAAACTAGATATGGAAGAACTCACAAATTAAAAAGAACTACAAATGTACAAGGTGGCAAATAATTAGATGCAGAAGGTTTTGTTTGCTTTTACAAGTAACTAACAATGGAGCTGCATAAGCCTTGGGATGGGGCACAGGACGATTGGCTGGTGGATCATAAACTTGTGTGGGTCAGATAAACCAACTAAATATTATTGCAAGGAGCACTTTCTTCTTTGCAATTATCTATTTATGGACAGATTGGGGGGTCAAACCAGATGGCATGCTTAGTGTGTAATTGGAACAAGTCTCCTTGGATTAGCAACAGAAACTGGGTTTCCTTACTTTCCTGTAGTCTCAGAAAATTCATGCAACATATGGTAGGTGGTTAAAAATATGCCATCAGTGATAAATAGGGTTTCTGGGGGCTGCTT